TATACCCAAACTTTAGCTTTAAGGCAGGGATGTCAAACTGGCGGCCCTCAAGCTGTTGCGAAACTACAAGTCCCATCATGCCTCTGCCTTTGGGAGTCATGCTGGTAACTGTCAGTCTTGCAGTGCCTCATGGGATTTGTAGTTTGGCAACAGTTGGAGGGCCGCCAGTTTGACACCTGCACTTTAAGGTGTTATTAAATATATATTTTTTAATAAAAGTAATAAAACATGTTGTACGCACCTGCTCTGTGTAATGGTTTTGCCCCAAACCTCTTCTGGTGTTCTCCACCAGTGCTCTTGACTCCTTCTCTTCTCTGTGTTCCCCCATAGCAATCTGCTTGCTATGGGGGCACACAGTGTGTGCTCACTCCCGAGCTGTGTATGTCTATGTAGCAGTGCTTCAAAGACACACACAGTGCAGCTTTCCCCTGTCCCTTCCTTCTCACAGCATTTGATTGACAAATGTATGAAGAGGAAGAGAGGGTAGAGAATAGATGCAGCCATTCAGAGCACTGGATCAATGGAGGACTTTCTACTGAGTAGGGGAGAAAGCTGTAAAATGCTTTTGCCTCAATGCAAGAAATGCATTAAGGTAACAATCATTTTGGCTTTAGAACCACTTTAAGATTAAATGATACTTTAGTTATAGTGTACTCATAGTAATTGTGTGCTATTTTACAGGTATTTTTAAGATTGAAGACTCTGCTCAAGTTGCACGCCTCTGGGGTATTCGCAAAAACCGCCCAGCAATGAACTACGATAAACTGAGTCGCTCAATTCGACAATATTACAAAAAGGGAATTATTCGCAAGCCAGATGTATCACAGCGCCTTGTCTACCAATTTGTGCAACCATTATAGAAGATGTAAATCTATATGAATTCAAAACAAACGAAGGGGTTTTAAGTGAAACACAGAAAGAGGAAATGAGAACCAAAACACTGGATGATCTACACACTGGAATACAGCAGTCCCATTGTTTCAGAGTCCATATTTATTACAGAATACATTTTTCTAACAAGCTGATCAAGGCTTTTAGCTCGGCAAAAACTCAATATTTGCAGAATGTTATGCTTCAAGAGACTTATACCAGCACAAGAGACTTAAAATCCCGTACACTTTCCATTTACTCAGTTATCATCACTACCTGCTTTCTTAGAGATACTCACTGATGTGAGACCTGCTGGACTCAGTGACCTTATAGGACAATGGGAGGTGGGTAGAGTAGGACAGAGTGACCACAAAGCACTGTGAGCATACTTTAAAAAAAAATAATACAAAACCAAATACATTAGAGAAAAACTTGACATGAATGTATGTTTTGGATCTGTACTACATAAAGTGGTAATTTTTTTAGATCAATTATTTATTGTAGCAGCATAACACATAAATTGTATAACATACTGAATGAAACTCAGAACTCAAACTGCCATTAGGGGTGTAAAACTACATAAGAAAAAATTATATATATATATATATATATATATATATATATATATATATATATGTCTGTTAGGTAAACCTTACACTTGTTTGTTGATAGACTGTTTTGCTGGGTTATTCATGTGATCACTGTTTTCCTTTTATTTTACATTTCAGCCTAGCTCACAATACTGCCAAAAAAACTGATTTTTATAGATACACATTTTACCATGCATAGAAACATGCATATTTGTATACTTTTTTCTTTTTGCTTTCTCTTGGTGTTTCTTTGTGCCTTTCCACAGTTTATTTACAGGTGACACATATTAAATAATATTTGTATTTAAATGGTCAGATAATTATCTTATGTGCGTCTTATGTTATAGATAATCTTTTTTTATTAATATAGATATTGTAGCTGTATTATTTCCAGATACATTTCTATTACTTGTGAAATAAATACTGGATATAAAAAGTATTACCAGTAAATGCACACTCAGTGGCCACTTTGTGTTCATTGCAAAAAAAAATACAAGGCTTTCTTGCATCAAGTCAGTTACAACAAAAGATGAGGTGGTTGCAGCATCTCATAAATTGCTTATTTATGTATATAAATTATTACATCTAAAGTTCAGAGTATTTCAAAGTGCAATACATCATTCACCAGTTATCAGTGACCTTGTGTCCAGTGGTATACCTAGCCTGTTTGACAGCTGGGCCCCTCCTCTATACAAGAACATTAATTTTAGTAATAATCATAAAACAAGCTGCCAATATATAAAATATCAGGATATTTTTCTCTGTTAGTATTTTTTGAGCCATACTTGCTGGATAAAATTTCTTTATACTGTAGGCAAGCTCTGTCTACAGCACATATTGGAAGGATTGCCACAGAGAGGCTTAAATTGCTATTATAGCTTCAAAAGCACAGATAGTAATCATTAATCGTTGGTTCCAGATGCTTTTTTCTTCTTTTTTTGCGACTGCACTGGGGTCTGGTGCATTTTTTATGCATTCTGGTTCCTTTTTGATGCATTTTACCATGTTCCAGCAGAGTTCTGTGCATGAAAAATGCAGCAGTTCTACGTTTGTTTTGGAACCAGAATGCACTGGAATTACAAGCACAGGTGTGAACTATACCACTGAAAAACTTTCTATGCGTTTTGGATGCAGAAAAAAAAGGCCTGCCTTTTTTGCCTTTCTCTGGATCAACTCTGGGTATAAGATTATAACCTTTTTTTTATGGTTCAACTGTTTGGATGTTTGTCTTTTTTCATCCAGACTAACTATGTAACTATGTATGTGGTGTGAACTAGCCCTCAAGTTTTTTTTAAATCTCTGCACCAGCCCCCCTAACACTTACCTGAGCCCCATTGCGATCCAACAATGTGCAAGAGAGCCTTGGCTGTCTGGGGACTCTCCCTCTTCATGGCTGAGACAGCAATGGGAGCCATTGGCTCCTGCTGCTGTCAATCATAGCCAGTGAGCCAAAGAGAAGAGGGGGAGGGATTGCCTTTAGTATCACTTTAACTTTGGCCTATATGTGCTGATTTGGTTGAAATATGAGCGATGGGTGCCCCTGTTGGCTTCACCAGGCTCAGCAAAAGTCAGTTGTGCAATCGACTTATGTTGAGGGATCTAGGTGGAAAATTGCAGAGCCGAACAGAATCTGCATCCTATTATATGCAAGCACTGTTCAGGTATTCTGTAAGAAAACAATAGCTGGCACGAAATATTTGTCTATTTGCACTAAACAAAAAAAATCTATGGGTGTATAGCTACCTTAACCGAACAAAAATAACAATATCATCACATAAAAGTACAACAAAGTCATCATACAGTATGCTGATGCTAATACACGTTGCACAATCAAAAGCCTAAAAGGTAATTATTGTTGAGCCCCCAATTAGTGTGAAAAGAGGAAGTATCTTCACTGCCAGGGGTCATAAATTAATATTTTTTCATGCAGCAATGCACTCCTATTTAGTGAAAATCACAAACTACTAGAAGCACAGCGCACCTGCTTGAGTTTAACGAAGACCTGCCCAACATGTGATTCCAGACAACCAAATTATACTTTACTTCTTCACTATCCTAGTCTGAAAACGTGCTCTCTTCAACATTGCTAAACTTATGAAGAGACTTCCTGCTTTTAGCAGTTTGTAATCTCCTATAATTGCATGTGTGCATTGCAGTACAGCAATCAACATTTATTGAACATTAAAAGAAACAGGTATGTGGAGCAGATACCTGCCATGTTCTCACTTCTTGCTTGCAGTGACAGTGCAGATGCTGAAAAGCGAAGTAAAAAAACAAGCAACGTTTAGGGTTACTTTCAAGGGCCTTGCTATCCCTTGCATCAGATGAAACATGTTAAAGCCATGTGCTGAAGCTTATTGAAGGATTAAAGTTTTGCCTGTGAAGACACCATCAGCGTGCTGCTTTTCCTTTGTATTTTATTATACTTGACATTTTTTCCAGTAACCTCAATGAATAACATTATAGCCAAGGAATAATTGCAGCTGATACAAAGCTGATCCTTAAAGGTCAGTTCACACTACAAAAACGCACTCTGGATACATTCCAGATACGTTTTTTGCTTACAGTTCACACCACATGCAGTTTTGGTGCAGTTTTGATGCAGTTTGCTATGTTCCAGTATGGTTCTCTGCAGAAAAAATGCAGCATGTTCTACTTTTTTTTTCTGCACTGGAAACTGACTGCACTAGTGTGACCCAGGGCCATTGGAATACATGGAAAACACTATGCATGCATTTTTGATGCAGAAAAAAAGCGCACTGAACTGCATCTAGTATGAACTAGCCCTAAAACAACAGAACTGTGCCAAAATCACCACTTTTTAGTGTATATGTTGTTAAACAAAAAAGGCACTAAGGGGAATATGAGATGAATTGCATAAGAGAAATGAATGTATACTTTCTACAGCCCTTAATCCGTTAGCATTTTTTACAGATATTGTAAGGTTAACTGTTGGTGTGTGATACAGTGGGTTAATATCAAGATCTATGTTACCTCTGATGTGCCTTTAAACTCTGTAGATTTAACTCAAATTATACTGTTTTGCTTGAGCTGCCTGCCCACCAACTTGCAGGAATAAACATTATCACTGGAGAGGTTTAATTACAGTTAGTTATAGTTTGGGAAATTTTATTTCTTCTCCTGGTCCTGTTGTATTTTTCATAATTTAAAGAAAATGAAAGATCCAATCAGTGTGAGACTTCTCACAATTGTTCAGGTGGGTAATCTGACCTGACAATGTCCATGAGAGAATAAAGAAACTGATTATGACAGTCATTATCTGGTGTTAAATCTATTCAGGGTTAACTGATTCATTTCATTTGTCACCATATTGTCACTATCAGTAAAAACATCAATTGACATGCAGGCCAATTTGTGCTACTGCACATCATATATTTATATATATATATATATATATATATATATATATATATATACACACACACATTATATTGCCAAAAGTATTGGGACACCCGTTCAAATCATTGGATTCAGGTGTTCCAATCACCTCCATGGCCACAAGTGTATAAACTCAAGCACCTAGGCATGCAGACTGCTTCTACAAACATTTGTGAAAGAATGGGTCACTCTCAGGAGCTCAGTAAATTCAGGTGTGGTACTGAGATAGGTTGCCACCTGTGCAATAAGTCCATCCGTGAAATTTCCTTGCTACTAAATATTCTACGGTCAACTGTTAGTGATATTATAACAAAGTAGAAGCAACTGGGAACAACAGCAACTCAGCCTCCAAGTGGTAGGCCACATAAAATTACAGAGCGGGATCAGCGCATAGTGCACAGAAGTCACCAAATGTCTGCAGAATAAATAGCCAAACTTTTTGTGGCCTTCAGATTAGCACAAAAAGAGTGCAAAGAAAGCTTTGTGGAATGGGTTTCCATGACCGAACAGCTGCATCCAAGCTTTACATTACCAAGTTGAATGCAAAGCGTCGGATGTAGTGGTGTAAAACACGCCGCCAGTGAACACTAAAGCAGTGGAGACGTGTTCTCTGGAGTGATGAATCACGCTTCTCTGTCTGGCAATCCGATGGACATTTGTCTGGGTTTGGCAGTTGCCAGGAGAACGGTACTTGTCTGATTGCATTGTGCCAAGTGTAAAGTTGATGGAGGGGGGATTATTATGTGGGGTTGTTTTTCCCGAGATTGCGCTTGGCCCCTTAGTTCCAGTGAAGGGAACTCTTAAGGCATCAGCATAAAAAAGACATTGTGGACAATTTCATTTTCGTAACTTTGTGGGGACGTTTTGGGGATGGCCCCTTCCTGTTTCAACATGACTGATCACCAGTGCACAAAGCAAGGTCGATGAAGACATGGATGAGTGAGTTTGGGTGGAAGAACTTGACTGACCTCAACCCAACAGAACACCTTTGGGATGAGTTAGAGCAGAGACTGCGAGCCAGACCTTCTCATCTGACATCAGTGCCTGACCTCACAAATGCGCTTCTGGAAGAATGGTCAAACATTCCCATATACACACTCCTAAACCTTGTGGACAGCCTTCCCAGAAGGGTTGAAGCTGTTTGTAGCTGCAAAGGGTGGGACAACTCAATATTGAACCCTACAGAGTAAGACTGGGATGCCATTAAAGTTCATGTGCATGTGTAAAAGGCAGGCGTCCCAATACTTTTGACAATATAGTGTGTGTGTGTGTGTATATATATATATATATATATATACACACACACATACACACAGTTGTGTTCAAAATAATAGCAGTGTGGAGTTCTATTAGTGAGGTCATTCATTCTTTGAAAAACATTTGGCAATTATTGCCCTTATTTAAGGAAGGAAGGCAGCAAATGTTGTACATGCTGGTTGCAGTGCATTTCTCTTTCAAATTCTGAGGAAAATGGGTTGTTCCAGACATTGTTCAGAAGAACAGCATACCTTGATTAAAAAGTTGACTGGAGAGGGGAAAAACATATAAAGAAGTGCAGAAAAGGATAGGCTGCTCAGCTAAAATGATCGCAAATGCTTTAAAATGGCAACCAAAACCTGAAAGACGTGGAAGAAAGCAAAAAACTACCATTCGAATGGATAGAATAGCCAAAATGGCAAGGACTCAGCCAACAATCAGCTCGAGGAAGATCAGAGAAGGTCTAAAGTTACTTGTGAGTACTGTTACAATTAGAAGACGCTTATGTGAAGCCAAGCTATCTGCAAGAAGCCCCCGCAAAGTCCCACTGTTGAAAAAAAGACGTGCTGTAGAGGTTACAATTTGCCAAAAAGGCACACTGACTGGCCTAAAGAGAAATGGCACAACATTTTGTGGAGTGATGAAAAGTAAGATTGTTCTTTTTGGGTCTAGTGGCCAGAGACAGTTTGTCAGACGACCCCCAAACACTGAATTCAAGCCACAGTACACTGTGAAGACAGTGAAGCATGGTTGCGCAAGCATCATGATATGGGGATGTTTCTCATACTACGGTGTTGGGCCTATTTATCGCATACCAGGGATCATGGATCAGTTTGAATACATCATAATACTTGAAGAGGTCATGCTGCCTTATGCTGAAGAGGAAATGCCCTTGAAATGGGAGTTCCAACAAGACAACAACCCCAAACACACCAGTAAACGTGCAACATCTTGGTTCCAGACCAAGAAGATTGACATTATGGAGTGGCCAGCCCAATCCCCGGATCTTAATCCAATAGAAAACCTGTGGGGTGACATCAAAAATGCTGTTTCTGAGGCAAAACCATGAAATAGAGAAGAACTGTGGAATGTAGTCCAATCATCCTGGGCTGGAATACCTGCCAGAAGTTGGTTGACTCCATGCAACACAGATGTACAACAGTTCTCAGAAACAGTGCTTATACAACTAAATATTAATTAAGTGATTTAAAGGAAAGCAAAATCTTCAAACATTTTTCAGTTTATATAATGAATGTTTGAGCTTCAATTTTTTTAGAGGAACAACACAAATTTGATATATTTTTCTTCATGTTTTGATTTGGAATAGAATGTGTAGTGTTCCCAATGCATTTGTGTGTATGGAAATAAAAGCTATTAGAAGGATTTTGAGCTTTTTTCAACACAATGCTATTATTTTAAACACAACTGTGTATATATATATATATATATATATATATATATATATATACACATACAGAGAGAGAGAGAGAGAGAGAGAGAGAGAGAGAGAGAGAGAGAGAGAGAGGGAGAGAGAGAGAGAGAGAGATCAAGATTACCTTTACAATTCATGTACATCACCACAGCATCCTATTGGTTTGATATTCTATTCTTATGGATTTGCTAGGCAGCGAAATAGAGGCTGTGTCCTTGGACCTCGTTGTTTAGGGTCTTTTGCCACTCAATAACCCAACATTGAAGTCTAGACGCCCTCTGCTTCGTCGATCCTACCATTAGCGCGGATTCAGCATCAGGTAAGGAGCGGCGATACAATTTTTCTCGCTTTTCTTGCTAATGTGGGGGGGGGCAGATTACCTTTACAATTCATGTTAATTCCATACATTTACTTTTATACCACAGCATCCTACTCTGATAACACAGTATTACCAAAAGCCCCTTTAAAGTATATCTAAAAACAAGACTTTTTTTGAACATATTCCAATGCAAGCAGCTCTTTACCTTGCGATCACTTTATGAGACCAATAGCAGCATTCACAAATGTAAACAATGTAGTGTTTACATCTGTAAGCCCACACCTTCCTCTTACTACATATGAAGGCGAAGAAACAGAAACTAACAAACAAATGGAAGGAGGGGAGGAGACTACATATTCAGAACTTTGAGCAAACGCTGTTGAAGCTTTAAAAGTACCATTCAACTCTAGTTTGTAAGGGTCGAACACAGATCCCAAAGGGACTACTGATTGCACACTTTAAATCAAGCTGCTACCAGCCTTCAACAGGCTTTCAAAAAGCTTCAAGAAAATCTAAAGCATGCTAGCAGTTTGTTTAAAGTGGCAATCAGCACTAGGATCTGTGTTCAACTTTTATAAACTGGAGGTAAACGGCGCTTTAAAAGCTTCCACCAAGCTTGCGGTTCACATTGCTCTTCTACAAGCTGAAGGCCATATGCAATAGACCTAGTGGCTAAGTGACTAGCCCTGCTTGACAATACTTGATATGTCAGTTTGAATCCCAGCCATGGCACTACCTGCACAGAGTTTGCATGTTCTCCCTGTGCCTGCATGGGTTTCCTCCGGGTAGTCGGGTTTCCTCCAACACTCCAAAAACATGCTGGTAGGTTAATTAGCTCCTGTCTAAATTGGTCCTACTATGTATGAATGTGAGTTTGGGAACTTAGATTATATGCTCCTTGAGGGCGGGGACTGATGTGAATGTATCATACATATGTAAATTGAGTAAATTGACGACGCTATACATACAGTAAATACCTAAAATAAATATATCCTTTTTGGCCATACTTCTCTTGCGGGCTAAAAAAGTGCACTTACATTTGCTCTTCTGTAACCCAGAATCAGCCTGCTGCCAGATGATATGGCAGAGCATCTCCAGGCTCTGGAAGTATCCCGACCATGTTGTTGGGATCCATCCAGCTGCCTGGTTGACAGCTGGTTTCAGCTCTCATGGTGTGGCTGAAAGCCAGGCCAGTTGTGCACGGTACTCCAGTGAGGGCTGGAGGGTAGAACTAAGAGACTGACAGTCATTGCTCTCCACCCGGAGGAGACCAACAACTGAGTGATCAGTAATCAAGGGATCGCTCAGTTCTCAGAGCTGATGCAGGTCAGCTACAGCATAGCACCGATGCTGCAGTATAGGGGTGAGTATATATGATTGTTTTTTTTTGTATACCCCAGACTTCTCCTTTAAATATACAATCCCGTTATTGCTCCAGACTTTCACATCACTTTTGAAAGTTACATGCATGCTATATAGGCTTTCTGTAAATCTCTGTCATTCATGCCATATCTAATCTCCAGGAACACTTTTTCTTACACAATATACTTTTACTCATTGCAAAGTTAACAAGGTTTATTTACTTACTAATATTAGTATAAATGAAATGAGCCTGGTTATCACCGTGTGTGAAAACATTATCGTTTCTCTGGACTCTGAGATTTGGTGAAGTTGTGGGTATAATGCTGCATTACTCCCATTTCCCACGATGTCTGCTAATCACAGTGTGAACACACAGGGCCTGTTTGCAGACTAATGCAGCCCCATTGTATGTAAACTCCACCCTACAGCAGTCTTCTCACGCTGATGAAAGTGGGGGGTTGTTAAAATAAAGTAACTAAAATATATATTACATTGATTGCATCAATCTAAGGGCAATGTGTAAACAAACTTCCCACACAAATTGAAAATGTATCACTTTATAAGAGTCCATTAACCAGTGCTATTTTAATAAAGTTTTGTGGAGCCAGAATGTACCTGATAATACAATATTCAAATCACATACACTTTTTTTTTTTTTGTGTGTAAAACTGTGTTTGTAATCTGCATGTATTAAACGTGCAATTAAAAAACTCAAAAGTATTCATTCTGAATCCTGATACACAGACATTAAAAGGTAAAATGGAGAAATAAAGAAAAATCACAGAATTTTCCATTTTAATAACAAAACACAGGCCTTTTTCTCTTAAGGAATGGGTCCAGAGCCTCCCCCTTTCCGAGTTACCTCTCGTCTCCGCCTCTACCAACCTCTAAGCACCATTCCTTGGTTTCACCCCTACCCACCTCCCAGTATCATTTTGTGGTGCTAGGTAAAATCATATTAACCCCCTCCTGCCCGCCATATAAGGAAATGAGGGGAGGGCGCCATATGATGTCCTCCCACTCTAGCTGTGCGTGCGCGCCCCCAGGGGTGTGGGGCGATCGGTGGTGCACTGTATCCCTGGAACACAGCGGATCACTGATCACTGTAACGAGCTGATGAAGTAGGCTCTATCATGTGATCAGCTGTGTCCAATCAAAAAAAAAAAAAAATCATCTAAATAAGAAATGCTGGTTATCGGCAGTCCTCTCCTCACACTGACAGCACATAAGGAGAGGACAGCCAGTGAGCGGCATTCCTCAGAGGGGACATCTACACTGATCATCAGGGCACTGATAATCAGTGCAGCCCCATCAGTGCTGCTTTTCAGTGCCCAACAATGCCACATACC